ACTGAGCCCCCCAGGCACCCCTATTTATTTTTTTAAGGTGACTCCATACCCATCATGGGGCTTGAACTCACAAGCAACCAAGAGTCACATGCTGTACCAACTGAGCCGCGTAGGCGTGCCCCACCCGTTTTAAAGATGGGCATCCAACCACATGAGTTTTGTAAAGTGCATTACACCAGCTAGAGAACCAAACAGTGCCTAGTGCACAGTAGGATGCTTCCTGAATAGCGGCTGCTACCATCGTCCTGTAGGTCTTCCCCTTACCCCCATCCTATTTTGTTGGCTCACATTGTTAATAATATACTCTTCCCTCACTTCGATAGATTGGTCATTACTATTTTTAATTTTGTTTTTTAGTTTTATCAAAATTCTACATCGTCTAAAAAGTCAAAGTTTATTACAAAAATCAGTAGTTCCTTGTATTTTCCTCAAATATACCTCCTTTCCCTCCTCTCAAGCAACAGCTACTTTCAACTTTTGGTTGATTATTTAAGTATTTGTCTTTACCAAATATTGCTGCTATTCATTGTTTTTTCTCGTTGTCTCTTCACTGTGGAAGGTGAGATGAAGCTCTCCCCTACATTTGCTTATCATGCCCTTTCCCGTTCTCCCACCTTTGCAATGTATATATACCGTAGTTTTATGCATTATGTGACCACGTGAACACTGTTCACTGCTGAGCAGTGCAGTCTCCTATGATGCTATTTGTTTCCAGCATACATTTTGGTTTCCTTGGAGTTAATATTTATCTTATTTTTTCTTTGTCTAGACTTCTGTATTCTTTAGCTAAATCAACTCTCAAACTCTCTGCCACCTGTATCTCCTCTCAGACTTTCAGATGCATTGGAGGTTCTATCTGTTCATCTTTTTAAAGGAGTCTCCCCAGAGGCACTTACTGACTCACCCACTTTAAACACACACTATCATACTGGGACTTCCTTGAGCTCTCTCCTGTGTGGGATGTCTTGCTTTGGGGATCCTATGTCTCATTCTAGTGAAACATCCTCCAGTAGATTCCTAAGAAGGGGTATGTGGGAGGTCCAATTGATTGAGATCTTAAATATCTAAATATGTTTTTATTCTCCCTACAAGCTTGATTGATAGTTTTGCTGGATATAGAATTCTCAGTTGCAAACCAACTCGTATGCAATCGGAGCCACTGTGTTTGAGCTTTCAGTGTGGTTATTGAGAACTCGGAAGGCATTCTGATCCTTGATCCTTTGTATATGACCATTTTTCCCTTGTTAGGATTTCCCTTTGTCTCCATTGTTTTGAAATTTCACTGAGATGTGCCTCAGTTGGTATGTTGGTTTTTATCTATTGTCTATTCCATATGTTTATCCTTTGTCTACATGAGTATGTTTACTCATGGCCTTCACTTTACAAAACTTTTCCATAATTATTTCATTGAGGATTTCCTCCTTCCTATTTTTTTCTCCTTTCTTTCAGAAAGTGGTGTTATTTTAAAATTGGGTCTCTTGGGCTAGTCCTTTAATTTTTTATTTCTTTTTCTTTTTTTTAGTGCTTTCTTTCCTGGTTTTTGTCTTTTTTATTCTACATTCTAGAAAGTTTTTTTTTTTCTTTCTTAACTTTCCTGTGAATCTTTCATCTTTGCTCCTATAGTTTTAGAACCTAAGGTTCTTTTCATTCTTTAAGGGTTCCTTTTTATAGGGTAGTGGTTTTTGTTTGTTTGTTTGTTTGTTTTATGTATACAGTATTGTCTCATTTCTCTGAAGATAGTTGTTTTAGTTTAGTTGTTTGGGTTTTTATTTTGTTTTGTGTGCTGTTTTCCCCTTGCCTAGGCTGTTTACTCTGTTACTCTTTTCTTTTGGTTTATTTTTAGTGTTCTTGTTAGGAGTTTTCTTCAGATGGTCACTAGTTGTCTGCTTATATTTAAGTGGGACACTAAAAAACATATTGAAAGTCCTAAGTGTGTGTATGGGGGGAGGGGGTGCACCTGGGCTGGGTGGCTCCATCGGTTAAGCATCTGACTTAAGCTCAGGTCATGATCTCACGGTTTGTGGGTTCAAGCCTCACATTGGGCTCTGTACTGACAGCTCAGAGCCGAAACCCTGCTTCAGATTCTGTGTCTCCCTGTCTCCATGCCCCTCCCTTGCTTGTGCTCTGTCTCTCAAAAATGAATAAACATTAAAAAAAAAAAACAAAACTAAGTATGTGGACGGTGCTTGACTTTATCTTAGAGAAATCTAGTGGAGTCATTTACTTAGGAAACCCAAACAGTACATTTATTTATTTATTTTGAGAGAGAGCAAGCATGAGTAGGGGAGGAACAGAGAGAGAAGGAGAGAGAGAGAATCCCAAGCAGGCTCCTCACTGTCAGTGCAGAGCCTGATGCGGGGCTCAAACTCACAAACCAGGAGATCAAGACCTGAGTCAGAATCAGATGTTTAACTGACTGAGCCACCCAGGTGCCCCTGTAATTATTTTTTAAATATCTGTGATGGGGCCAAGTCCATAGTTAGCATTATGTAACTGTTATAGGAGGGAAGAATAAAAGGTAGCCATCATTATTGGCCTCATTTTACATGTCATACACGGTAATGACATGTTTACTCCTATGCTGGCTGAAGTGTTCCCCCATTTCCAGTAAGGTGTGAGTGTTGTGCCCCCTACACGGATACACTGTGAAAACAGCACACAGTATTCTACGGAGCCAATAGCAGCAAATTCCATTCTGTCAGGATGTCAGTAGAACAGGTGGGAATTTTCCTCATCCTGTGGTCTTCTAGTTTTGTTAAGAGGTAAGGAGGAAGAGGCTAAGCTGTTGTATGTCCTGAGTACCAACATAAATTATAAGTCAGATATATTCACAAAGCGAGCAGTTCTGATGTGGGATAGAGTGGGCTGGGGGAGGTAACTACAGAAGCAATTTTAATATGTGGTTGGCCAAGTTCAGGGTAGTGAGGTCCTGTGGCAGGTGAAGTGTCATAGTTTAAAGGGATTCGGGAAGACTTCCCAGAGCAAAAGGTGTTTACCAGGGGACCTGAGACATAAGTAGGTGTTAATCATACAGCAGGAGTAGGATAGGAATCACATGACAAGGGGGTTGGCTCCTGGGGAGTCTCCAAATGGAGGTTTAGTATTTAGACTGTAGATACTAGGGCTCTATTCTGTTGTAGACATAGTAATCCCAGCATCTCCATCTGCAGAAGTTGAAAACAGTCAAAATTGGCATCAGAAGATCAGTCAGCAAGAGGACCGTTGCTGAGTCCCAGAAGTGAGGACCTGTGTTAGGGTGGCGTCAGGACAATAGAAATGCTGCTGAAGGGGGCACCTGTGTGGCTCAGTCGGCTAAGTATCTAACTCTTGGTTTCGGCTCAGGTCACGATCTCATGGTTCGTGAGTTTGAGCCCTGCATTCGGCTCTGCGCTGACAGCATAGAGCCTGCTTGGGATTCTCTCTCTCTCCTTTTCTCTGTCCCTTCTCTGCTCTCTCTCTCTCTTTCTCAAGAAATAAATAAACTTAAAAAACAGCTTCATGAAAAAAAGAAAGAAATGCTGCTAAGGAAGAATCAATGGGGCCTGACATCTTTTGGATGTGAGGGACCAGGGAAGGGAGAGGCACCTTTGACTCTGGAGTTCTAATGCTCAGTACTCAGGGATGACTGTTTTCTTGGGCAGCAGAGAACATTTGAGAGCAGTCTGTCTTGGGAGGGAAAACGATGGGGGAGATGTGTATTCTATATCTTGGGTTGCAGCGTTCAGAGAGGCCTTTGGGGCACCATTTCAAAGAATGGTCTTGTTAGAAGAAAATCTCTCATGATTCATAGGTAGACTAAACTTTCCCATTTATTGGATAATTTTTGTCCACTGGAAACCTCTTAGCTGTTGGGTAAAAAATCAGATGTCCTTGAAATTCAGCATATTTTAATAGTATTCTGAATCCAGGAAACTATGCATTTTCAATATTTTTCTCAGCTAGAACCCAAAATTGTTACTTCACTTGGGTCATAATTAAGAGTTTTTGAGAAGATAGCAGCTTAACAAAACTATTTGTTTATAAATCAGGTATCAGTGTATTATCTGTTTACACGAATGAGTGCCAAATAGATGCTTTGAGTCAAAAGCCTTCACAGTTCAATTAGTAATTCCTTCAGAGCTTCGTCAGTTTATTTCCTGTTTCCTTCGTCCTGGTCATTATTCTACAGGGACTTTTGAGAAGCGATTTTCTTAAAAGAGTACAAATTGGATTATTCCCCTTTATTGAATTGAAATTCTTAACAGGCTTTCTGCTAATGAGATATTGTATCCATGTTAGGTTAAACAGGCCAGTTTGAATCATTTTGTTGGCATTTCAGAATTAGAAGTCATTGATTAAAAGCCTAATAACTCAAGCCAAGTTTAATAATAAAATGGATTCCACTAGGTGCTTCTAACACAACCAAGAAAATTCATACCAAATCAAAAGTGGCAACAACAGGAATTACAATTAGCTTGTCCATTAACACATGATAATGCCAAAAAAATGTAATTAACCTTCTTTTAGTGAGACTGCTGACAATAAACTTGACTTTCAATTCCAGGATGTATTTTTTTTCTTTTCAAAATTTTATTTAAATTCTGGTTAGTTCATATACAGTGCAGTGTTGGTTTCAGGAGTAGAATTCAGTGATTGATCACTTACAGACAACACCCAGTGCCCATCACAACCAGGGCCCTCCTTAATGCCCAGCACCCAGCTAGCCCATCCCCCCACCCTTCTCCCTCCATTGACCCTCAGTTTGTCCTCTGTCATTAAGAGTCTCTTGTGGTTATATTCTGTATTCAGCAGTTGGGTCTTCTAGGCCCAGCCTGGCAGCAGTCCTAGGGGAGAAGAAGCTCATTCTGCTTTGATATGGAACCATGTCTGGAGCACAAAAGGATTTTCTTGGACTTGATAGAGAGAAAAGAGACCAGGCTGGTTTTCGAATGTTTAAAATACTTACTTGATAGTTTTAAGGACGTCTGTGCTTCTGACCTGACTACGCTTTTTCTTTCCAGTTTAAGATTGATGGCGAATGGTGGACATGGATTGATTATAACCGGTTCCAGGAGCTCGTGCAGGAATATGAAGATAGCGGTGGATTAACAAATTTCAGCGCAAAGGATTATGTGGCCAAAACCCCCCTCTGGGCATTATTTGGTGCCAGTGAAAGAGGCTTTGATCCCAAGGACACAAGATATCAGAGAAAGAACAAATCCAAGGATATTTCCGGGTGTTGAGATTATCTGACTATAGGGTACTGACGGACAAGAACTCCCGGCCCCCGAAGGTTCTCACGCCTCACTGTGGTTTTTCAAAGGACACGTCACGTGACTTGTGTTTCATGTAGGGAAGAATGGAAGGCTGCACACGGGGACACAAGTCACCCCCCGGGGTTGGGGAGGTGGCATCCACACTCTGAGTGCCTGGGACTCAGCCTCACGTGTCTTTTCAGAGCTCAGTCCCTTTCCTGATTTTACTTTTGAGAGGAACATCATTGCGGGGAAAGTACACAGCCATTAGAATTTAACTGGTGGTTTTGAATCATAACTTGTAAGACTCCCAAGAATGCTATTCCTGAGGGTGTTCTAAGGGATGAATGTCTGTTCCTCTCCCCTTCGTGGGCTGTTGACCTTTGTGGACTGTGTTACCCCGAGGTAAGTAGATCTGCCCCCTCCGAGACCTCCATCCCTTCTTTAGATTTAAGATAACACCTCCCAGAAGTCATTTAAGTTGTCACAATTCTCAATTATTTTTAAATACTGCACAGATTAAGGTTTTGCTTAGTACCAACCCTTTATGAACTTGCATTGGATCTGAATGTCCTAGATCTCACTCCGTTCTCGTACAGATTGCCATAGAAGGTATTAGTGGCTGCACCAGTGTGAAAGGGCTCTTCTGGAAGAAGAATGGCTCTGTGATGTCATCAGTTAGTCTCACAGACAAACTCTGAAACGGAGTATGGTTTGCTTTTTGTTCAAAAAGTCAGTGGTCAAGCCCCTGTCCTTATACACAGAACAAGTCCCCACCTTCTTTTCCCTCTCGTAGCCCGAGCTACTTTACACAATCTGTTCTTCAGGGTTCAAGTTTTTTCTACCTGAAAACATCATTGAATACCCAATAGTTTTTTTAAAATATCATAGTTATTTTTAAAAAATTCCTTTATCCTAAAATTTTGATTAATAAAATCTTTTGGAAAGACTAGAGTTTTCTTTTGAGTGTTTATTTGAAAGATGCTTCTAGTGCCATGGTTGTAAGCCCCATCAGATCGACCTCCTCCTGTATACCAGCCGTCTGTCTTGTCACCCCCTCTGTTTTCTGCTGAAGTAAAACCCATACATAATGTAACCTACCTACTCACCCAGTTGAAAACTAGGCTCTGATTATTTCTAAGCAGTAGAGGCAGAACACTTCTGTCTGCTGTGACATGGGATGGGAGGGTTGCAGAGTATCACAGAAATCCTTTGTCCTTTCTTGAACCCACCTCATCTTCAAGCTTATGTTTGGTCTCCTGTTCTGGTGACTTATGAGACCGACAGGAGACAGGAGTGATGCAGGTCGGTGAGGCAAGATCTCCTTGAAACCCAGATGGGTTAATGTTCATTGAATTTGAGGTGCAAAAATACCCTAGAGTAGAAGGAAGTGTTAAAAAGCAAGAGCTCATGCTGAGCGGGGAGCCTGGAGGCAGAACATGCTGGGCTTTGGACCATCCTAAACCTTTTTTCAACCATAGTAAGGACTGTAGGGAACCCACTTTCCCTCCAAAACAAAGAAGACATAGGCAAAGTGACTAAAATCCTTAAATTTTAGAATTTTGACAAGGAACTGAAAATCATCTGTTAAGAGAAACCAGTGAACCTCAATAAAACTAACTGTTGGCTTCTCATCAGAAACCGTGGAGGCTGGAGGACAGAGGCGTAGCACCTTCAAGGGACCAAAAGAAAAGGCTTTCTACCAACAATTCTTTGTCTAAATCCTCCTTCAAAAATAAAGGAGAAATTAAGACATTTCCGGGTAAACAAAAAGTGAGAGAATTCACCTGCAGACCTGCCCTGCATGGAATACTGAAGGCTCTGATGAAATACACTAGACACTAACACAGAAGCACATGAAGAAGTAAAGAGCGCTGGTAAAAGTAATTTCAGAGGTTTTATAAATGTATCTTCGTACCTCCTATTTTAAAAAACAGTTGCCTAAAGTGATAATTATAGAGTGTTGATGGGCTTACAATGTGTAAAGATGTAATTCGTATGACAGTAATAGCTCACGGGGGTACAGCACAAGGCATAGGCATTTTGGAGCAACTATTGACTGCCTACTGGTGAAATTTAGTATGAATCCAAAGTAGATTGTGTCACGATGCTACTTATAATCCCAAGAGCAGCCACAAAGAGAACAAATTTTAAAATATGGTAAAAGAATATGATTCTGTTCCCAGTCCCTGTGTTTGGGCTTTTCCCCACACCAAGCACATCCAGCACACCAGCTGGATCTCCTACAAGTCACTAAATCCTGACACTGTCTACCGAGAGATAGTGTGAGATGATCACAGGTTAAGGGCTCAGTCCCACAAGGCTACGTACCCTCCCCTTCAGATGCCAGCAGCCAGCCCGGGTCTTTCACCTGGACTTCTGGCCCTTGACTCTCGATGGGAGGTTCTCACAACCCCCTCCACGGGTTTGATTAATTTACTAGAGCAGCTCACAGAACTGAGAAACGTTTACTTCCTAGATTACTGGCTTGTTATAAAAGGAAATAACTCGGGAACATCCAGGTGGAAGAGGTGCCTAGGGCAAGGTATGGAGAATGGGTGCATCTCCCATGCCTTCTCTGAGCATTCCACTTCATCATTACCAACGTGTGTTCACCAGCCCCCAAGCTCTCTGAACCCTGAGCTTTTGAGCTTTTACAGCGGCCGTATTCCATAGGCACATGGAATAATCATTGGTTTAATTGACTTAATCATTGGCTGTTGGCAATTGAGCTCCATCTCTAGCCCCTCTCCACTCTGCAGAGGTTCTGAGGGTGAGAACAAAAGTTCCAACTCTCTTATCACATGGTTGGTTATCCTGGCAGCCAGCCACATTGCCTACGGGCTTTCCAAAAGTCACCTCATTAATATAACAAAAGACATCTTTTCTGCTCTCATCACTTAGGAAATTCCAAGGGTTTTAGGAGCTCTGTGCCAGGAACAGGGACAAAGACCAAGTACGTGTTTATTATAAATCACAATATCACAAACAGCAAAGGAATTGAAAAGGTACCCTAGAAAATAACACAAAAGAAGGCAGTAAGAGGAATAGAACAAAGACCTAAGACATTCAAAAACAAATAGTAAAAATGTCAGGCATACATCCTACCTATGGTAAGTATATTATGTAAATGGGTTAAATACCCCCAATCAAAAGAAAGATGACCAAATGATTTATGTATTTATTTATTCAAAAATGTTAATGCTTATTTATTTTTGAGAGAGCACAAGCGAGGAAGGGGCAGAGAGAGAGGGAGACACAATCTGAAGCAGGTTCCAGGCTCCAAGCTGTAAGCTCAGAGCCCGACATGGGGCTTGAACCCACGAATTGTAAGGTCATAGAAGTTGGATGCTTAACCAACTGAGCCACCCAGGCGCCCCCAAAATGGATTTTTAAAAATCCAATTATATGTTACCTATAAGAAAATCATTTCAGATTCAAAGACTAAAAAAAGATGGAAAAGGGTGTATCATGGAAGCAGTAAACCAAAAGAGAGCTAGAGTGGCTATACTAATAGCAAAAAAAAAAAAAAAAAAAAAAAAAAAAAAAAAAAAAAAAAAAAGACTTTAAGACAAAAAAATTGTTACCAGTGAGGAAAAAGGACATTTTATAATGCTAAATTATAATTGAATTCGAATTATTTATAATTTATACTAGGAAGACGTAAGGTTATAAACATATATGCACCTAACAAGAATCCCAGAGCCTCAAAATACGTGAAGCAAAACCTGACAGAACTGAAGGGAGAAACAATTCAATAATAATAATAATTGGAGACTTACACGATGGCATTGAACAATGGTCAGAAGAACTAGGCAGAAGATCACCAAGGACACAGAAGATCTGAGCAACATTATAAACCAACTATAACCAGGCCTCTAGAGAGCACTCCACCTGACAACACTTCATCCTCAAAGACACACGGAACATTTTCCAGCATAGACCTTTTGTTAGATCATAAGACAAGTTTCAATAAATTTAAAAGGGTTTAAATTATACGCAGTATGTTCTATGACTAATGGAATGAAATTAGAAATGAACAGAAGAAAACTTGGGAAATTCACAAATACGTAGAAATTAACCAACATCCTAAAAAACCAAAGGGTCAAAGAAGAAATCACAAGGGAAATTAGAAAAGACTGTCAGATAATTGAAAATTAAAACAATGTACCAAAACTTAATGCTGCTAATGTACCCCTTAAAGGGAATTTATAGTGTAAATGCCTACATTAAAAAGAACATCTATCCAACCAATAACATAACCTTCATCTTAAGAAACTAGAAGAACAATTAGACCCAAAGCAAGCAAGAGGAAGAAAATAATAAATGTTACAGCGGAAATAATGAAATAAGGGAAAGGAAAACAATAGAAAAAATTAATAAAACTAACTTGGTTCTTGAAAAAAAAATCCAAATTGATTAACCTTTAGCTAGGTTCACCCAGAAAAATGAAGATGCAAATAACTAAATTAGCAATGAATGCACAGTCTGCGAATATAAAGCTGTAAAAACTACATTATACCCTTTATTTTTCATTTTTTAATTGGAGTATAGATGGCATACGATATTAGCTTCAGATACGCAACACAGTGATTCAACATCTCTATACCTTACGCTGTGCTCACTACAAGTGTAGGTACCACCTGCCACTATTCAACACTATTACAATATCATTGACTATATTCCCTGTGCTGTGCCTTTTATTCTGGCGACTTACTCATTCTAGAACCAGAAGCCTGGATCTCTCACATCCCTTCCCTCTGGTGAAATTAGAACAACCATCAGTTTGTTCTTTGTATGTATAGGTCTGACTCTTCTTTATGTTTGTTTATTCATTTGTTTTGGGGTTTTTTTAGATTCCACATGGATGTAAAATCATCTGGTATTTGTCTTTCTCTTATTTCACTTAGCATAACAATACTCTCTAGGTCCTTCCATGTTGTTACAAATGGCAAGATCTCATCCTTTTTATGGCCATGTAATATTCC